CTGTAGATATCCACCTTCTTGTAGTTACAGCCATTGATAATGAGGCCAAAAAAGTGGGAAAAGGAGTCGTGTGAACGGACTTGCATCTGATTCTGCCTCTGATATATCAGATTGGCTGGGGTGCCAGAAGCAGCAGCTTGAATCTATTGCCATTTTATCTACCTTAAATACCTTCTTTTTATGTAAAGCCACCTTCCTATATTTTGCAGCTTTAGGCTGCCTTCAGGCCTGTCTCTCTTGCAAAGCTATTTTGTTGGTCTGTAGGGTAGCGGGGAACAATTGACTTGCACTTCGTCATGACAGATTTACAGCACAGGAAGACCACTTGAAAGAATGTTTCAGACTACTTTCAAATAAAATTTTTTGTGTGTTTGATCTGGAGGAGGCAGCATGTACCTTCCTGGGGTCCCAGAGAATGGAACGGAAAGCAGGACAGACTCGTCTGTCTGAACTTTGAAGTTAAACAAGAACAAATTTAGTCATTGTTGAAGACCTGCTCCAAACACATTTTGATGTCTAGTGTCTGATATATTTAAGCATGCTGTAATAGGTAGAGAAGAATACATGGGATTCACAAGGCTTGGAACAAGATACAAATTTTTAAATAAAAATTAAGATAGTAGTTTTTACCCCTTTTTGTTCAACTTTGTTCAAACTGCAAAGCTGCCTTCTACTGCTGACATTCCATGCCTTACAGCCTCTCCTGCAGTGGTGAGTTGTGATATGGATATTTTGGGATGCTAGACCAGACAGAGGAAAATGAACAAACGTTGTGTTTTGTAACTAAGAAATAAAAGCTCCATTTTACTTGGATATACCATTGGTGGCACCGTTAATTACAATTGCCTGGACTCACCTTGTACTTCGACTGTTGTATTGTTATTCGTAATTTACACTTGTAAAGCAAAGGCAGTGTCTGACATGTTAATATTACATGCCCACCATTTTCACTTTAGAAAATAAGAGAAAATGAGTTGTTGTGTATGCTGTACTGTAGAAGACTAAAATATATGAAATTTGTGATATCACATATGCAGAAACCCTGGCTATACAAACAGAAGTCAGTGTTTCATTCTGCAGTCTAAATTTGATTTTCCTATTAATTTGTTTGCCTTTGAAATATTTTGCAACAGAGCAGATTTTATTTATTAAATAGAAATAAACTAGAAACTGAAAGAAAGTTAAAAAAATGTCACTCACATTTATATTTGGACTCCCCAAGCATTTCTCTTATGGCTTCATTCTGTCTCATATTTCATACCACATTTCTGTGAAAAGTAAATGAATCACCCACATATATAAAAATATTTCATAACACAGACAGATGGGTACGGATTTATATGTGCAGAAATTTACTCACATATACACAACGCACATAGGTATATAAAATATGGTCTCAGAATAAGAATATATGTGTGTACAGCTATACTGAATTCTTGGTGGTATGTTGTAGAACCCTTGGGTAGGTTTTTATGAATTTGATTTATTGGCTGACTGAGTTGATTCATTATTTGTATATGATTTTTTTGCTGCTGGGTGGCCATAATTTACAATTCTGGACCTAGTTAACTCTGTGGGTGCCTAGAGTTTTCTGTATGAACATCTCCAACTATTGTTTAAAGAAATAAATGAAGTGGACTTACTTGAATGAGCAATTTACTGAGGAGGAGCAAAATATGGTCAGGCAGGCAGGTAATAGAAAATAGCTTTCAAAAAGTCTTTGTAAGTCACCATACCATCATATATTTTCTTAGCATACATACAATAATCCATACATCTTACAGGCAGCTGAAGATCATCTGTGAAATGCGTTTTCTCTTACTAGAATCTTTTTCTCTTATTAGAATCAGTCTTTTTCTCTTATTAAAATTTAGTGTTATTCTTGTATTATCCAACTTGTAAATGCCTGATAGATTTGCTGGTAGGCACAGAACAAAATACTGAAGAGGCATGAAAAGTCAAAAAGTGTCTTGGCTTCATTTTGGTATAAATGAAACATGACACTTACTTCCACAATTAGAATTTTAGCTTTGGCAGTTAGCAAAGCTGTTCTTTTCCCACGACACAACCATATCTACTAGAGTAGTGGAATAAAACTGTTTTCTGTATCTTGTTTACTAGGAAGAAAGGATTTCTGTTGGTATTCAGCATGGTCACAACTCTTCAGGAGGTTTGGGATGTAATGGTATACTCACTGCCTGTCACTTTTGCAAATTATGTCATTTGCTGCTATAAAGTCCAGCTGGTGTACTCTGGGGCAAGGGCAAAAATATGAGAAGAGCCAGAGCACTCAAATTAAAATTCCTTCATTAACTGTTAAGTATACGCAGACTGTGAAGAGTTGTAATTTGCAAGATTTCATGTACTGTCTCCAAAGGTGATTTGACTGTTTACAGCTCTCAATACTGGATATGAACTTAGTAAGACAAATTCAGCAGTGATTCTTTATGTGTTCCTACCAAATTTTGTGTACTTATTTACTTAAAGCCATTGGTCTATGGTCCATAGGTATTTCTGGGAGTGCCTGTTGAGAAGAAGTACTGCACATAGACAACGTAAATTTTTCATAGCTGCAGTTTTCATTTGCGATGTCATATTAAACTGAAGGGACAGTCTAGTCTTATTGAGATGGTGGGTGCCTTATTTTTTAAAACGCTTTGGTAGTTGCCCACCAGGGGAAGTTCACTTCCTTCTAGCCATCTGTGAGTGCTCCAGTTACAGACATGTGTAATTCCACATTCAATGGTGGCACATTTTATTGTAGCTGTGTAATTTATCACAATTCCATGTGGAATAACTGTCATTGTAGTGAAAGTTCTAAACCCTTCTCATGTTTTAAGGAAACCAATCAACCCAACAAAAGAAACCCCTTTGCACATGCATTCAGAATTCCGTGTTGTAAGCACAGCCTCCTTCAGCGTGCATGTCACATCCTAGAACGTCTGCCTCAACATCCATGAGGGAATGTTTCCTCTGCCTCTCCTGCTTTATCTAAATCTCAAATAACTTGCAAGAAAAGAAGCTTTCAATGACTTTTTAGTTTTTCATATGTTTCTGCTTTAATGCTTCTCTCCATCTATGTTTTGAAAAAAGTCTCATAGCGATTCCTACAAGAAATTCCTAGGATTGTTCTTGCTTAAGGTTACAGTTCGTGCAAGATATGCAGTTGTGTCATATTGTGGTGGATTTGAGTGAGATTTTCTTAAGTGATAAAATAACAGAGGAACACAAATGCTACTGAAAGTTACTAGCATTCAAACCTTGAAGGCATACACAAAAATCACAGATTTCAGTTGACATGGGTTTGAAATCATCAGATGAACTGGCAAATTCTTGTGACATATAAATACATTTCTTTGTTCTGTCCAGTGTGGTCAGTATTTATATACATAAAAGGTACATATTTCTGCATATGCATCTGGAAGTACCCCAAAATGCAAGTGAAAGTCGTGGGTTTTTTTTTAATCCTTTGCATATATTATTTGGAAAATCAATTGCTTTCTGTGATTTAGGGACATGTAAAACAGAAATAAATACATGTGTAGACTTCTAGTTGTAGTTTACATCCTCTTCCCCTGCTCACCAGTTCAGGCAGTCAGCAATCTAAAACTGCATATAGATTCTTGAAAGATGTGTGTTTGCAGGTCAGCTTTATTTTTTCATTCCTCATGCCTCAAATCTCCACTGAAATTTCAGCATTACCAGCTTTCTGAATGATAAAGGACATTTCTCTTGTGCTCTCAAGCAATGAGTGCCAAAGGCAACAGAATGAAATTTGTATGCAACGCTGTCTACACTCCACGTGCATGTCCATTTATCTCAATAACTGACTGTCATCTCTGTGCCTGTACATCCTACAATGACAATCACAGCCCAACACTGCTCTAGATGTCAAATTTCCAGGGATAGATTTCTAGCTGCAGGCAACTCGAGCTAAATACCTCATATTGAGAACACTCTCTTCCTTGTCACTGACCACATTAGAGCCTTTCATGTAGCTTCATATGTGGCTTTTATTTATTGTCTACTTCCACCCATGGCTTGAACTGCAGTGGCTTTCAAAAGTGATAGGGCTAGTAAGCATATGTGCACTTCAATTTGTATTTTCTGTAATTAAAGAACTTTATTTGTATATCAAAGTAAACGTGCTACATATGCAGCTGCCTACTCAAATTTTGCTGCATTTTGGTGAACTTTGCAACTTGTTCAACCATTTGGTCAATAAAATGGGGGAATAAATCCTTTTAAAGGAAGGTATTTTCATATGCATTTAATGTACATTCTTATATAACATAATAAGATTTGGAATCACAAAAGGTAAGTGTGTTTTCTGATTTGGGGCTCATTGGAATTCTGTTATCTCCCAAAAGCTGAATTCAAAATTAAGAACAGAATGTTATTCATTTCTCAGTAAGAATATAATTGTTTCCGCTCATCTGCTTATCAGCCTTTAAACTTACCTATTTAAGGTGAAGAACTAAAGAATAAAGAATTTCCTTCACTCCTTAAGAAATGAAAACAAAAACAAACACAAAATTAATGAATAATAATTAGCACGACCAGCAGCAGGATAGTGTGCACACACTTCTTGTCAAGAAAAAGTAATTGCAGCACTTGATGTGAAAATGAGATTTATGTCTCGTGCTAATTTTTACTCTCCGCCTGATTGTATCAGTACATGGGAGGGAATTGTAGTCCTTCTGGCTTACAAGCATTAAATAGTCTGGTGAGCATGCATTACATCACACAGAATGAAAAAAAACTAACAAGTCTTCAAATCTCAGAGATTTTAAAATACTGATGTAAAATTAAAACACAAGCTTTCTGCATAAGAGAAGGAAATTAGGCTAATAGTAATTTTTTCCACTTTTTTAGTGTGATAGGTAAAACCACAAATGGCTTGTTCTGTTTTATTATCTTTAACAAAATATTTTCCCAGCTATTACTATTAAATGGATAATTCATACTGAAGTATTCTTGTTGTCTTTGGTTTGTCCTAGATCAGAGGAGGAAAGCTGATGATCACATACACAAGAAAGAACGATGCTGGCAAATACGTTTGTGTTGGAACAAATATGGTTGGAGAACGTGAAAGTGAAGTTGCAGAGCTCACTGTTTTAGGTAAGAATTCCTTTTAGACTCTATTGATGAAAATGTCCATCTTTTGTTTTTCCTAGTAAGCCTTTCTCTAAACATTCTGATCCATTTCTTTTTCAGTGCTGAAAATGTTTTTCTCATGGTTGTGATCTAGTACATAAAAGGAAGGTAATGGCTCTGCAGCCCACCTGGGACAACTTTTTCCTGTTATTAAATGCTTTTGTATTTAATGCTCAAACTGAAAATAATTCCAGTGTCCATGACTGGATCAGTATTGTGAAATAACAGCAAAACAAAAATTAACAAGTTTAAGAAGCAGAGGCTTAGTTTTTCCTTCTTACTGGAGAGAATCAGAATTACTCTAAATTTCTATTTGGAATAATTATCCTTTCATTTATAGGAACATGTGCTGAGTGTTGTAAAACTACAACAGATCTGCTTGTTCAAGTGATTCTATTGATAGTCCCTCTGAGCATCAAAAAATATGTTTTCATTTAAGATAGCTGAGCTTAGCTGAAAATTGTATGTTTTGATGCAACATCAGGAGGGAAGCTGTAAGTCCACCTGCAGTCCCAGTATTCCTTTAGCATAGGAGAATTTAGGTGCTTTTCCTTCAAAATATGTCCCATTTTACTTTAAATTAGAGGAGGCTTGAGATAGATTGGATAAAAAAAAATAGGTGTTGCATCTTTACAGGATGAGACCATCCAAGCCCGTGTTCACAGCTCACTGGTTTCCATCACAGTGCTGCTGCAGTACTAGTAGCTTGTTGGTGGTTTTATTTTTGTTAAATTCATGTTTAAGAGCTGTCTTCTCTGTCTTTGGCACTTTTATCTGTCTTCCCTACACTGTTGAGCTAGGACTCAGGTAACTTGAAGACCTGTTCAGAGTTTTGTGTGAAACAGGGGTTTCCTAAATAAAACAAGGTTTACTGCCATCTTAAAATTGTTCAAACTGAGTATCCAGGAAGAAGGTGGTATGTAACCCTTTAGAAGCTGAGGAAGACTTTGTGATCCCTTGTACCGCTTTATTTTGGTTTTATACAAAACCCTTTTGAAGCACTAGGGGAGGAAGTTTATTTTCAAATAGACTTTCAGAACTTTCAAGCAAAATCTAAACTTGAAAGTTGTAATTAATTGAGTAAAGTCCTGGCACCAGGCTTCTATTTAACTGTACCATTTAACAGGTCATCACTAGTCTGCTGCCAGGAAGGGAATCGTGGGCTGGACTGTTTGATAACTGAGGCTGAAAAAATACTTCTCCTGCTAAACACCTGTAAGAGGAGTGCATTTCAGGCAGAGCTCTGTCTGGCTTTTTCTTCATCTCCTGTTCTTTTCAGACATATTTCAGATTTTCAGCCTGAAAACTGAATGGCCTGGGGAAACTAGTGAGGTTTGTTTTCAAATAGGTCAGTAAAGCATTGAATGTCTTACCAGCCTGTGTCTAGAAATATTTAAAACACCTTATTCTTTCAACTCAGACTTGGATATGCTTGAAAAAGCTTGAGTAGTATGCTAACTTAATATATTAAATTTTTTCTGCATTAATCTTCTATTTATGAGGTTTGGTTATTTAGGAGTTGAACTTTTGCTTCTAGGTCTCTGCTTTAGATCAGAGGGAGGATTGCATGCCAGAAACTGTAATATTAGAAAGTTTCAAAGTTATCCTTGCTAAGCTTTCCTTGTATGTACCAAATAATCATGTGACAAAGATAGATTCTTAAATCAGTGCTGATTTCCCTTATCTGTTTCTGCATTGAGTAAGAGTGTTATAAATGGGCAGACAAAAACTCGTGGGAGTCCATTATTCTTCCTTTGAAAACTGATCTGGAGAACAACGTGCCTCTTGTGGGTTTTGCTGTTGGGTAGCAGTCTTAGTCTTACCAGATCAGTTCTTTTTCTCTTGCATAGTTAAGTTAAATATTCTTCCCCAAACTGTTCCTACTCTGAAATTAAATATGGATGTTCTTTTCTTGCATTCAGGTTTGGTTTTTTTGGGCACCTACAAAAAAGGGGCCAGGGTAGGGGGTTGTCTATAGTTGTATCTTTTTAATTCACAGCTCGATTTATGTCTGTAGATCTCTGTTTTAGTTCTCACTTCTTGTATATGAACTCAGGCTAGAACTGACAGCTTAAAGCTCAACTTGCTGTTTTATTTAACATTATTTCCTACCATGGCCAGCAAAGTTAAGTTTTCTACAACACAAGTGTCCAGCTGGTCTGGACATCCTCGAAAATAAAGGAAGCTTTTTTTTTAATAAAGTTTTGTTCAGTCACATTTCCTTTTCGAACCATGAAGATTTTTTAATATTGAATCTTTGTGTCTGCAAATCCAGACTAATATTTAGAACTGCTTTACTCAAACACAAATGTGAGACATGAAGAGCATGGGATTGTCTCTTTATCCTTCTGTCTGGTTGTTTTGTATTCCTCTGAGAAATTTGTGGAGTATTTTTGGGTATTCACACTTCCTGATGGTGCCAATGGCCTCAGACTGTTGCAGTTCCAGGGGGATGATATTTATATCTTTAATACATACAAGTCAAAACATGCAACTGCCTTCTCAACTCCCTCAGAGCTTTCACAGGTTTATAGACAAAAAGTTCATCTGCCTTAGGCAAAGGAACCTGCCAAACACTTTCCTGTTAAACCTTCCCAGTTCTTTTATGGACATGCTGTTGTCATCTGGTGCTGCTCTTCTAGATGGGTCATTCCTGGAATATTCCAGAAATTGTTTAAAGCCACTTTTATCCTTGGGAGTGTGCAAACCTCACTGCAGTGCAGCCTGGCGTGGAATTATGAAAGTGTGCATAGCCCAGCAACCTAAAGCTTTAAATCCTGTTACAGGTAGAAAAGCGTATCAATACCTTTCCTGAAATTTGCAGGGTTTACCAAAACAATGCAGCCTGTACTGAGGTCACCCTTTGTTCTAGAAAGTCTGAACATAAGTATGCAGCAGTTAATCTGATTCTGGTGAGCCAGGACTTGGGTCATCCATGTCCTGCAATTTAAGTCAGGGATAGGAGCAGTTTTGGTGAACAAAAACTACAGAGAGGACTATCAGTGCTGGGATCCCTAACGCCTGGGAAGAATGATGTCTGAAGGCTAATTAATTATTTATTATACTATATTACACTATATTACACTAACAAGAACTATCACTAACTAGAAAAACCTGTGACTCTCAGCTGTTGGACTCCCAACAGCTGTTGGCTCCAAATTGGTCCATGAATCCAAACAACCATCAACAGAATCCAATCAAGCAATCACCTTGGATAAACAATCTCTATTCCACATGGGCACAAACACAGGTACAGATGAAGAGATGGTTTTCTCTTCTCTCTGTGCTTCTCCAATAGAAAATCCTGAGAGAGAGAATTATGTCTCTCTGTTCAGCGAATGTGAATGCCACAGAGGACATTCTGGGTTTTCTTGGTTTGTTTTACGTCATGTGTGCTGGTGAAAGAAAAAGTTGCGTTTCAAATGCAGCACTGGAAATTATTGCATGGGATGCTTGTTGGTGACACCTGCAAGCAGCCTCACAGAGATCCTGTGTAATCTGGATGCAGAACTGCTGGAGTAATCCTTGTTTTCCTTTCCCTTTAGAGAGACCATCTTTTGTGAAGAGACCGAGCAATTTGGCGGTGACTGTGGATGACAGTGCAGAATTTAAGTGTGAGGCGAGAGGTGACCCAGTCCCTACAGTGAGGTGGAGGAAAGATGACGGGGAGCTGCCAAAAGCAAGGTGCAGTACTTGGAGTTACACTTTTTGTGACATCTAGTTTGGTGTATGATGAGGGCACTCAGTGATTGACAGCTAGAATTTCTTTGTCTTGAATGCAAAAGGCCTGGCTTGATCCAATAAAACATTTCTAATTAGCACTGTGCTCTAGTTGAATTTACAATTTATCTTGAAACTTAAGAATGGCCTGCTTTCAAATTTTTGTTGTGACAACACATGACAAATCTAACAAAACAACCAAGTTCAGCCAGTAATATCAGATACAGATTAGTTCTTCACCTGAAGAGTCTTTTGTGATTACTAAAAGTTTTGGAGAATGCATTACAAACAGTGAAAGAGACTACAACATCAATAAGTACATACTGGAATTGCAATTGATGTAAAATGTAGTCTGGCAATGTAGAAAGCTGCCTTGGTTATACATGTTTTTGTTGCTAGGTTTCCAATGAACTTCCTTGTTATTGCTGGAATTCAGACCAAAAAGTAAAACACACTATTAAAAATAAACACACCCTGTGATAGATCAATATAGAGATAGATTAAATACTAAATTTACTTACTTAGAAATCCTAATTATCAGTTTAAAAAACTTCCAGGGGAGTGGACTGAAAGAAGAAACCCTTTAACATGATTGAATTTGTTGGCCACTTACTTTTGAAATCCAGCTTCTTGATAATGTCATCTATAGCTTTAATAAAAACTATCATTTTTAGGAGAAAAATCTACTTACCATAAATTGAAACACACTGACTGCATTATGCATAAAAGAGAGAAAGGTGAGGAAAGGAAAGAAACTGGTGAAAGGCCTTTTCCTTTAGAAAAAAAAAAAAAAAAGAATTGTGATTTATCTTGACTTTCAAGCAATTCTGATCTTCTTGGAAACAATATTTTCTTTTCAACCATGTTAAAAAAAAGCTGTCATTCAGATGGAGAATATTAAATATTATTATATTTACTTGTTAAATAAATTCTAACAAATAAGATGTTCTACATTAGGGCTTTACAATTGTGTGCAAATAATATCAGAATAAGGTTTTCAAGTACTTGGATTTATTTTGGTTTTAAAACTTCATTTTGCATTATCAATTTATAAGTATGTATACTTTTTTTCCCCCTTATGGGAAATACAGAAATGAGAATATTTTTAGAGCAAATCCCCCATGGTTTTATCCTTTACAGAAATTGTACAAAGTTCTGTTATTCCTATTCATTGTTAACTACTATGTATATTTAAAGATACGAAATCCGTGATGATCATACCTTGAAAATCAGAAAAGTTATGGCAGGAGACATGGGATCATACACTTGTGTTGCAGAAAATATGGTTGGAAAAGCTGAGGCATCAGCAACTTTAACAGTTCAAGGTAAGAATGTTTCTTTGCAAAGTATAAAGTTGTTAAAGTTGTACTAGAATAAGTTGATTTTTCTTTTTACAACAACTCTAGAGATTAAAAAAATGTGAAAATTCAAATGTGTTTTGAGTTGTATTCTGAGGAAATGGAAATACTTAATGTGTAAGATTTTTCTGAGCAGTCTTTACAATGCTGGGATGGGGAACTGAGTATGTTTTGAATTTCAGTTCTTACAGTTCAGAATCAAGTCACTTGCAATCTTTGTATCTGAACCACAGAAAGAAGAAAGTCAGTGTTACTAAGCTGATTTTTAAAAATTCAAAAATTAAGAGTTGCAAGTTCAAGTATCTGCCAAGTTTTTTTTCAATTAACTATAGTAGAGAAGCAGTGAATGATAAATCTGTTTGTGTGTATTTTAATACACTAACCCAGACCGCTGGAATTCCTGTTGCTTTTTCATTATAAAGGCATATTGTAGCACTACTGTTCCTTTGTAAGATAAAAATTCAGTGGAACCCAGTGAACTAATATGTATAAAAATCCTTCACTGCCTTTATATACACAATCCAGATGTTCACTATTCAGATAATCCCTCTCTTCCTTTCCTGGCTAGCAGACAGGCAATGATGTCATCCTGATGCTTTTTTCTGGGCGCTGATGGTCCTCCTGTCCTTTTCTCTGTTCAGTGGGAATTAGTCATTATGGAGTTCTGGGGAAGTATAGGCTTAAAAGTATTTTATTTGGTAACAGGCCTCTATTTTGACACATTTACTGTAACAGGAAAGGTCTTGCCCTGAACCTGCTCTCGTTTTTCCACCAGAAACATTTGGTGTCCCTCTGTTAGGAAAGTATTGAATTCTTTCGTTGAAGCTCTCATAAAACCAAGAATTTTGAGATGTTCTGTTTTGTTCGTCACCATGATGTTTATACTTCAAAACTCATACCTTATGTTTGTAAAATAACCAGTTCTCATGCTCATTGTTGGAGACTAAAGGATAAACTTGTGAGTAGTAAGCACTGTTTATTCAAAGGAGAAAGACTGAATTATTTCTTAAATAATTATTTGTTCTGAAGATCACGTCTTAAATCAACTGTTAATCCTGTAAAATGTTACTATTAAGAAAATTTGCTTTAATGACTGGTTAAGCAGTAACATTTCTGGAAATAAACTCTTGGTAGCCCTAATCTTTCATAGTCCTATTCAAAATAATAAACAAAAACATACTTGAAATCCCATTTAGCTTAATGGTGCTAATAGATATAAAATGACTTAAGTATGTAGATGTTAGAAATTTAATGATATCTTTTTGATAATAAACTGGTATTTTTAAGGAACAAGATCATAGCCTAAATCCTGATTCATCAAGATCCTAATTTTTAAGTGCTTGTATTACACAGTAGATATTTACACCGTGGCAGCTTTCCTCTGAGGGTATTGTTATGGGGTAATTTGTTTCCCAGTGTGAATGGATTACCTCCTGAGCCATTTGTCTGCACTAATGTCTGCATAGGAGGGATTGATGTGAGAAACTGTAATGTGTAGGTGCAATTTGTAGTTGGTAATGAAATAAATTATGATCAAAATCCATTTACTAGTGTATCCAAGAGACCAAGTTTTATGGGAGGGGGAAAAAAATACTCCTCTAGCAGATGCATTTTCCATTCAGATTTTTTTCATTTTTTTCCTCCCTTTTCTGCCTTCTCCTCTTGTTCCCTCCTCTCCTTTTCCCTTGTTAAAACACATGGGTTTTTTTCCTAAAGGGTCAGATTTTGCTTATGATGTATCTAGAAGAGTAGACTGATCTTGTTTCAGTAGTAAAATGAGATCACTCTGACTGTTTGTGGACACACAGCTGTTAGAATTTTTTTGTTGGTTCATTGCTTTTTTATGATTTTATGGGGGGTTTTTTCTGGGTGATTTAAGGAATGCATCCAGCAACTCTCTTCTGCACTTTTGGTTATCATCACGTGACCTAAACTGTAGAGTTTTGTAAATGTGCGTTCTGCTGTGCCAAATTGAGTTATTTTTGTTGCCTGTTTGTAAACAGAGGGCTGCATTGCCAATCACAGCTTCAGACATTACAGCTGCCACTGTGCTGGCATGTTCAGTTCAGCCAAAGGCAAGGAGGGAGTTTGGCGTGGGTTTGAGTGAGTTTGGATTATTTGTGGAGCTTTGGTTTGGGTATTCCTCTTCAGTATGTCAGCAACAGGCTGTGGTATTTCTGTGCCGGACTCTGTGCCAGAGGAGGAATATGAGAGCTGTCAGGGGTGACCCCAGACGTGTGTCCATGTCAGGAAAGGGACAGTCCCCGTCTGTCAAGCGTCGGCACAGTGGGGCTGTGGCAGGGAGTGCAACGTGGCAGGGCTGCAAGCAGCGCTCCTCAGGGCCTTGGGGTTGGCAGCACTAGGAAAAGGATTTATCTTCTTCTCTACTCATCATTTCCACTGACACCATGGCTGAGCCCAGTGTGCTCTGTGCTGTGGAGGGTTATCTGGGGCACTAAAAGATGGAGTGTGCAGCACCAGGGCAATTGAGATAGGCAGCTGTCGGGGAGGTGCGGATGGGACGTGGTGAACAGCTATCCTGGGTCTCAGAGGGAGCTGCCCTGGATCCCACAGGAGCCTTTTCCTTCTGCTCAGCTCTGCCTCATGCCTGATGCAGGCCCTGCAGGACTCCCTGTTTCGGGAATGCTGCACAACCACAGTGATGCTTCTGAGCCGGGAGCCAGCCCAGGCCTTGTCCCTGGACTAGGAACTGTCAGCTCGGGTAGTTCAACTCTCCCTCTCTCTGTGTAATAAACTGGTAACTGTAAAAATACAAGAGAGGGTGTAGGGAAGGCTGAGCTCCAGGATGGCTTGGATGGATGGAGATGAGAGATCTCTGTTGGTTGCTCTTAGAATATCAGTTTATTAGGGATGGAGAAAGGTCTTGCTTGGAGCTGCCATAGCAGCAGTGGCAAGGCCTGAGGGGATGGGGGAAAGGAGAGACAAGGGGTAGAGAGGATGCTCTAGGAGAGGGTGGGAGTTCTAAGAGGGGGGAAGATCCAAGAGGGCGTCTGGCCCCTCGGAGACCCCTTATCAGGGGGCTTCAAGGTGGGCTGGAACAAGACTTGGGCCAATGGGGTCACAGACACCTGATGTTTCAGGTGAGAGTTACAGGTGTGGGGTGAACCATACATTTTGGGCAGTGAGATAGAACAGTCCATTTGACTTTTGGACCTATCTGTAGGTGAGGGTATTGTCCAGTCAGTAGGGGGGACTGTTTTAATCCTGGCTGTACAATTGTGAATCTTTTGCCAGGCAATTATATTTATCCATCCTTTCCAACAAGAGGGGAGGGAATATCAGTTCCATTTTTATGTTCTTCCTGCTCATGGCACTGCCATCACAGATGCTGCATATTGGAATTACTATTTTCCTCTGTACAGGCTCATAAATTTGGGAGCCATAAGTGTTTCCTACATGTATCCCGTGACTTCAGCCATATTCACAAACCAAATTTGGAGTTCTGTATTGACGTAGTGAAGTTTGAACTCTTCCTTTAGTGTTTTACTCCTGCAGCTTAGAAGCATTTCCATCCCTAAAGCTGTCAAGTTATCTTATTGTCTCCTTGGAAAATTAAATAGTTAAGGAAATGTAATCCTGATGTTGTTTCCGTATACCTAAAATTGGAGAGTTCTACCCTCTGTTTTCATTTTGCAGCAATGTGTACTGCATCTGTAAGGCATCCAGAGACATTGCTAAATACATGTGGAAGCATTTCATTCAGGAGATGATTAATTATTAAATAAATACCTCAATCAATACATAATGCCAGGAAGCAGCCCAGAGTACAATACATTTTTTTTTGCCAACACATTATATTTCACCAAGTAGCTGATATACTTCAGAAAAGGAAAAAATGGCCAAAAAATGGCATCACTGGAAACAGTGGACTTCTCTCTAGCACTAAGCAAGCTGGATATATTTATTGTATTTATATTGTATTGTATTTTAAATATATATGCAAGATGCAGTTCATGTTTTGTGTAGGTTTCTGTTATGGGACTTACTTAGCTTTATGCCTCAAAGCAGGACTATAGGAAATATATTAATTTCATTACTATATACATATCATTGAAAGCAATGTTCATAAGACATGCAAAATTACCAAAGATGCATACTTCAGAACTTCAGTAGTAAAAGAGAATTAGTTTTACCATTAATGCAGATGGAAGTAGGGCATCTTCAAGAAATTGCAAATCCCACATTTAACCATGAAAATACTTTCAAGCAAATCTAAGAACCAAAGGTTTTACATATTCTCACTTACTTCCATTTGCTTTGCTCTTAAATGGCTCTTGTGGTACTTAATTTGGCTCTTTTGACATCTCATTTTATAATAAGTTTATAATTTCTGGTGAAATGAGCTGTTGTCTGAAACACACAAGTGTAAGTCAGGGTTCCAGTGGCAGCTCTAATCTGCAGCTGGCCAGGAACCATCACAGCAGTGGCAGTGTAGGTGAGACTCAGCAGGAGTTGGGAGCAACAGCTCCAGTGGCTCAGCTGGCTTCAGGACTTCACAAGAGTGACACCAACACTGGCTGTAGGTGGCTGTGGTAGTCTGCAGAAGATTGGAATCTTTTCCTTGAACAGGAATCTTTTGAGCTCTTAGCTCTCCCCACTCAAGCATGGCTCTGGAGGAGTGTGCAATACTTGGTACAGGGCCCTGCCTAACTACACCTAAACCTGCTGCAGCAGGGACTGAACTGTAAAATGTAAATTTTGCCATTCAAAGGCACTAAGCACATTCGGTGTTATCTGTTTGGCAGGAAAAAAAAAGAATTCCTATGGAAATTGTACCGACCAGTTCATATTTTACAGTGGCAATGTCTGATACCAAGCCTTTTTAGATTGTGATGTCTTTAATTTTAGGGTTAACAGAGCTTGTCTGCAAGGTAGATAGAGAGTGGAACTTTTGATAAGTGACTCCTGGCTGTGATTTTGCTGTAAGAGTCAACTGACAAGGAATT